GCAAAGTTACCTTAACTACCTGGCCATCCAGTTGATCACTGGGCCATAAATTTCTCCCTCCAGAAGGGAATTTTCTTACCGAGCGAGGTTGTGGATAAGACAATTTAACAGCTCTGGAACCACTATGCAATGGTTTGAATAAGTCCTCCAAATTTCATGTGTTGGAAACCTAAAATTCATATGTTAATTAGAGGTGGGGACTTTGGAAGGTACTTAGGATTAGATAAGGTCATCAGGATGGGACCCAATGACGAAACTGATTGCTTTAAAGAAGAAGAGAGATCTGAGCTTATATGCATGCTCTTGCTCTCTCACCATGTGATGCCTTCTACATCTTATGACACAGAAGGAAGACTCTCACCAGATGCTAGCATCATGCTCTTGGACTCCCCAGCCTCCAGAACTGTAAGAAGTAACTTTCTTTTCTTTGTAAATTACCCAGTCTGCAATATCCTATTATAGTAATGCAAAAGAGACTAAGACGTATGATGTCAAAGTTGGTGCTAAATTTCCTATTTACCTAATTATTTCCCTACTACAAGAAAAATCTGAGCTGGCACCCCAATCTATTTGACAGGTTCAGAATCTTTTTAAATTAAATGTACCTTATATAGGACAATTACTTACATATATTGACAAAATCTTTCAGGGAATAGTCTTTATAATCTTAAAAGTTATTTTGAAGAAAAATAATGTGCCAGTATGTGTCAGTCTGGAAAAACCTTTATACTCTATTTCTCTCTTGGAGATTCATAATGCAGATTTAGGATATGGAAGTTCTAGAAAAATCTTGTTTTAAAGAAATCTGTTTATTTTATTTAAAACAGCATTTCCCAAAAGAATTTGCCAGTGAGTATGTTTTTCAGGAAATATTTTATAATATCAAAGAAATTTGGTATTCCTGGAAATACAGTTGGGAAAAATTTTTAAAGATAGTTGAGAAGGGACAATAATAAGAAAAAGCAACCTAAAACAGTCAAAATGTAGGAAACATTTATGTGACTTACCTTTGATTTTGTCAGTCATAAGAGAGTAAATTGGCTGGGTGTGGTGGCTCACACCTATAATCCCAGCATTTTAGGAGGCTGAGGAGGTTGATCACCAGGCTAGCCAACATGGCAAAACCCCGTCTCTACTAAAAATACAAAAATTAGCAGGATGTGGTGGCATGCACCTGTAATCCCAGATACTTGGGAGGCTGTGGCACAAGAATTGCTTGACCCAGGAGGCAGAGACTACAGTGAGCCAAGATCATGCCTCTGCACTCCAGTCTGGTCAACAGAGTGAGATCCGGTGTCAGAAAAAAAAAAAAAAAGTAAATTGCTCTCACTTTGGGACACTCTCCAATTTGGTTTCCCCAAAAGCATGATGAGGGAATCAATTAATAATTTTAAAACTCTAATAATAGGTTAAGTATAAGATATGCTCTTTATTGAATGACAGCAGTATAACATGACATAAATATCAATAACTACTGATGTCAATATAAAACAGTTAATATGAATAGAGAAATATTAATAAAGATATAATATTAAAGTAATTAGAGAGGGGAGGAAACTTACTAATTTCTCCTCTTGCTATTCTTTCAGATAAGAAGAGGTTTTTGTTGTAGATCAAAAAATGGTCAAATACTCACAATATTATATTTTTCTAACTAATGAATTCTAAGACAGTTTTTATTATTATCTTTGTTTTACAGAAAAGAAAAAATAGGATCAGTGTCATGTTCATGATTGTTCACCAAGCAATTGGCCCAGTTGCTTCAATCTTGATATATCTGATTAAAATTTTAAATGTTTTCTGCTATATGGTTTTAACTTGACTAGGATAATTGACTTAAAATAAGCATGTGTGTGTGCACCCCTGGGGGAGGAAAAATCTGAGAGAAATATATCAGAGTTGACAAAACTCAACTGTTATTTTTTCTTTAGTATCTAGGTAGAAAGTTGTATTTGGAGGAAGATTTAATTGCTTCAACCCAGAGTATATTATTTATTTAAATCCAAAAAGCCTAGTGCTTCTCTTGGGCCTATTGCCAGTCATTGGTTCCTCCCTATGACTAATCTATATTGAGGATATTTGGAGCTTAATCCTGAGTCACTCTGTAGCAAAACTTCCAGGCATACCTACTGAATAGTGAATAGCAATGTGAAAGGTTTGTCTCACTAAAGAATTCACGAGGTTAAGTCCACATGTAGCACGTGCAACTTGCTGCTATAACTGCCCATTTGCCACCCATATATGTTGCTTTTCCTCAAATTATTATGTTATTCCCTCTCCCAATGTGGTAAAAGAAATGAAGAGATTAGCCACATAAGCTCACACAAGCCCCGATATTTCAGAATCAGTAAAGTCAGTCTATTCACAAGCCTAACAAAGGAAAAGAGGATAGATTATGGCAACTGCTAATGAAATTGATATTTCAACCAACAATACAATTAAGGGATGATCTCTTGTTCGTAGTTGACTAAACTGCCAAATTCACCTTTATCCTAAATTTTATTATAAACTTAAGAGAATGAGGTGAGTTGATAACCTTATGTGGATCAGGTGAAAATCCAGGTAGAAAAGAAACCATCTACATCACGGTGGAAACCTTGGCTTATGAAAACTTTGGTAGATCTTCTTTTGTCAGACTTATTCTTCTATTTCTGTTCAGTGCTACTGCAATGGGAAAGGTCCCTTGTTCCCCTCACAGGGCATGTGTTGGGGGTGTGGCCTGATTCTTTGGTCAAATCTCTAGGGGGAACATGCAGACAGGCTGTGGGCCTCTGATCTCATGGCAGCAACTAGGGTGAATGTTTACAGCTTCTGAAGCTCCAGTGGGCATGTGGTACCATGTGCTCTTTCAGTTTTGCCAGCTGTAGGCGGCTTGTATTTATGAACTGAATTAGACCCCTTGCCTTATTGCAAGGACAGAGGGCTTTCTGTATCCCGGGGTTTCTTGCCTTGGTGTACCAGAAGAATCAAATCACACATGGGCTTGGAGAAAGAGTGCAAGGCTTTATTGAGTGAAAGTAGCTCTCAGCAGATGGGGGAGCCAGAAGGGAGATGGAGTGCGAAGGTGGTTTTCCTCTAGAGTCTGGCCATTCAGCAACTCTCCTCCAACCGCCCCGGCCAAACTCCAAATCACTCTGCTGCTCAGCGGCCTGCCATCCTCTGCCTGTGCCTGTCGATGTGCTCTTCCCTGGTGCGTTCCTCTCAATGTCCAGCTGCTTGTGTCTTCTTCCGCCACTGTATTCCCCTTCCACATCCAGCTGCTTGTGTGGGACCTGCCAGGGTTTCCAGGTTTTTATAGGCAGATGATGGGGGTGTAGAGGCCTAGGGTGGTCTTGGAAAATGCAACATTGAGCAGGAAAACAGAAATGCCAGTCCTCACGTAGGTCCGTGGGCACAAGCCCAGGCATAGAGCCCTAGCGAGAACCTGCCTTTCTCCAGCCAGCACTTCCCTGCCCCACTCCCGAGTCATTACCTGTCCTTTGACTCCACTTAAACCAATAACACTTAAAAATGCCAGAAAATAGCTTTGGATGAAGCCCACACTTTCCCTAAAATCATCTATACACTTTTTGGAACTAAAATCAGCTTTCATAAACAGAACTTGGAAACAGACAGGCTCCCTGAATATTTCCCCTGACTCTATGCACTAGGCTCACCTTCAAACATCTGAGGAACCAGTTGAGTGAATCAGTCAAGCAAGGTCCCTGGAGAGGGCTACCTCTTCTCTGAGGGCAGGTGCTTCTCAGCTCCAGCTGATTGTCGATATGTAGAAATGTCTGATCATATTGTCTGATCATAAAGTTTTGCAAAAGAAGTTAGAAATTTTCATTTTTATCTGAAAGCTCCCAATGACTAAGTGATGACAATTGCTTGAAAATATTTTAAAACCCACTCGAAAACTCACTGTTCTTCAAGCAGATGTCTATCTCTGACAATATCCAGTCTCAGCTCTAAAGGTTTGCCTAATTCTCTACATGGATTTCATCTTTGCCTTTCATTTCTACTCATGTCATGTTCTAAGACGAGTATTACTAGAATAAAATTACATGCTTTTATCAGAAAATTATACTGACATTCATCTACAAACACAAATTCCCAGGAAGACAGATAGCCAATGGGTTGTTTCTGGTTTTTGTTTTTTTGGTTTTTTTTTTTGAGATTGACTTTCATGCTCAGAAGTGGATTTGGTTTTAAAAACCTGACATTCAGGGTACTTAAACATCTAGTTCTTCTTTGTATTTTTGTATAATTTAAAAAATTTATATTCTGTTTCTATATTTCAACAAAAGACTTTAAGAGGATTTTATTATAGGATCCCAGTTAAAACTTAAATTCTCTTTAATATTTTATCTTGCATTTAAAATATACTTGACTTCCTTTTAATATACTGTTTTGCAATTGTCTGCTATAACAAATACTCCTAAGTATGTAAACGTTCTTATAAGTTGAATAAATTAAGCTTTTAAGATGATAAATTTAAGTTATATATTATAATACTACATTTAAATGTCATAAGTCTTTGGCTTTAATTTCTAAGGCCATATCAGCTACTAAAATTTCAGGTTTTAATTGGGATTATAGTACTGATACATTACTATATGTGAATATTAACATATAGTTTCAATGTTAGGGCTAAAATGTAGACATTCTTTCTGTAACAAAATTATTAATTCTGTGATTCAGATTATCTTAAATACTTATGTGTTTATTACTAAGTCTTCTTGAAATTAAATGGTACTTCACTACTAAAGAAACTAGTATATCATCTAAATTAAAATTTTTGTTTGTAACCTAGGCTGGCTGAGATTCTACATACACAACCACAGCTGTAGACCAAGATATTTACTGCAGTGCTTTCTGAGATGTTAAAGGAACATACCAAGCCCTATTAATTATTCAGAATATAGGAGTGATCTCCTACTTCTCAGACCACATATAATTCACGTCCTCAGGTTCAAATTATTATTGTAAACTGGAGCTGGTTTATAAAGGTTCATGAGAAGTGATTGCTAAAATATCAGGAATCATGCAAGCCAGCTCTTAACATAGCCATTATGTATTTATATACACTTACAATTACATAAATTATGTTTAAAACAAAGGCAATAAATACTTTAAACTCATTGCTGATTGTTTCCCTACATTTTATTATTACACTTGATCTTAGCCAAAAGGCCGAGAGGTGATCTACATTTTACTATTATCTATTATCTGTTACATCTGTATGCTGGAAATACTTGATAACAATATGCTGCCATGCATCTCTTTCCAACTCCACATTCAGTGACATCACTCTGGTAGTGAGAAGTCCATCGTGGTAAAAGAAGTTATACCACAGAAATCGGCAAAGGCAGTAAATCAGGGTTCTGGCTGATTTACATTCAGCCAGAATGTAAATCTGGCTGGTTTGAATGTTCTGGCTGCTAAACATTCATTGGTACACCAGTAGTTACGTTATTATCTAATTCTCTGTCTGCACTCCCCTCCAGGTTACACTATCACTTGTTTGTATTTTACATTTGTTTATCTCTTGAAATATTTAAAGATCTTCCATGTAGTCCCAAAGTGTGTACCTATCACATTTTTTTCTATTTAATAGGATCACATAGGTCACATAATAAATTTATATCTCAATGAAACTCTTTGACGTGTCTATATGATCATACTTTTGAAATCTGCTGCCACTGATTTCAAAGAGGTATAAAAGAAAGGCATTTTTTACTTATTTCATTGAAGTCTGATGCCTTATTTTTTTGTCTGTCTGTTTGTTTATTTGTAGAGACAGGGTCTTGCTCTGTCACTCAGGTTGTAGTGCAGTGGTGTGATCATGGCTCAGTTCGGCCTTAACCTCCTGGGCTCAAACAATCCTCCCGCCTCAGACTCTCGAGTAGCTGGGACTCTAGGCATGCCCCACCATGCCCAGCTAATTTTTAAATTTTATATCAAGATGGATTCTCACTGTGTTGCCCATGCTAGTCTTGAACTCCTGGACTCAAGTGATCCTACCACCTCCCAAAGTGCTGAGATTGCAGGAAGGAGCCACCACCCCTAGCCTAGGCCTGTTGCCTGATTTCGTGAAGTGCTGATTTTTTGTAGGCTTGGAACAGAGAATGTGTTCTAACTTGCATGGCTGGGTTAAACTATCTAGTCATTTAGTATTTCATAGCAGAGATAGATTGGTAGTTTGTTATTTTATCTCACTTTAGAAGTAAAGTTTTTGTACCTCAATCATTAAGATCAATTTTGTTTTACATATAAATGTATAATCAGGCTAATCCTAGAGGCAAAATCTATTCTATTCAATTGAATTTCAGACATCGATGAACCATGATATTATTTTCTAGCACTGCATATGAAAGTTTACCTTTTTAATTTGAGTTCACTAATATGACTAAATTGTGACAATTCAAACAAAGAGATACCTCCTATTACTAGAGTTAATAAGATATAAAGAAGAGCTAGAACAAAGCATGAATCTGAACAACTATAAACCAGAATCTCTTCCAAGTTGGGAAAAATAAAGTGGAATCTACAGGTTTCTGGTTAAAGAGGAGTTTATTACAAGGTTTAGAAATATACTGATTGTATCATGCATGGAGAATCATTCTCTCATGCAGCATTGGTTTTTCTGTGTATCTTATGAAGATACAGCTATTCATTTTTAGTCACACCTATTTTCAGTAGATTAAAATCTCTTTAAGGTGTAAACAGTCTGATGATGTTACAAATCACAGAGGCCTAAAGCAGGAATGACTCCATTCTTCATGCCCACCCATGCATTCTTGTTCCTTCTCCAGCCTTCACTGCCTGTCATCCTGCTGCCTAGCTAACTATAGCTCTTAGCAATTATGTCACTTTGGTATTTAAGAGGAGAAGATATAAGTGGTACAAAATTAATGGAAGATAAAAACTAAGAAAGGAAGGTAGGCCGTTAATATGCCGGCTAAGGCTCAGATCCATTCTCTGCCCTTTATCTTCTTTATTTGGCGACACTACAATGACCTGACAACTATATTTCCAAGGTTTTTTTTTTCTACTGCCTTCCAGCTCATTTGGTCAATAGGAGATTGGAGGACAATAGGAAGAAATAATCCAAAACATTTTGTCCCTTTTTTTTTCTCATCCAAATAGGCACAGGAGTCATCTCAAGCAATGATGACATTTGTTCCATGATTTCAAAATCCTGGTAAGCAGTGACCATCATGATTCTAGTTTCTGCTGGAAGACTCAGTTCTGGGCTCTGGTAACGTGACTTTTTCTCTGGATCTCTCTAGCCATTGGGATAGTAGTGCCTTCTGCTGCTGTGAGTCTCTGGGTTGCCTCACTACTGAGCTCTTCCATCATCTGTATGACCAACAATCTCCATTAGATTCCTCCTCCCTGAAAGTCCCAAAATGATCCTAACTGGATCAAAACTTAGAACTGAAGACTCAACCACTACTTATATAGAACTGAAAGTGGGAGAAACAAGAATGAATCAGTTATTTTATATTCTAGATAATTAGGGTTCCTGCCGTTACAGATGTGGAAAGAGGCAGAAGAAACAAAGCAAGAACAGGAACAAATACTTACTGAGCACCTTTAATGTGCAAGTATTTTATTTTCATTTTACCTCTACAGATGAGGAAACTGAAGCTTAGAGAGATTAGGTGTTTACTGAAGATCGCATTAATAACATGTGGTTGAACAGAAGTTTGGACTCAAGACTTGACTCCACAGCTTTTTCACTGGAGTAAGCTTCCTCCCTAGCTGACATGAGGTTACATTCAGAAATAGTTCTTGAAGGGTTGTTGGGACTAAGAGATAAAAGTCTTAAATGTCAAATAATCTGAGAGATCAAGGTTAATATCATGACCACACCAAGTTTAGTTGAAGGTATCTGTTATTTTCTTTTTTAAGAGACAAGAGATATCCCTCTGTCACCTGGACTAGAGTATAGTGGCTTGGTCATAACTTATTGCAACCTCAAACCTCTGGGCTCAAGCCTCCTGCCTCAGTCTCCCCCATAGCTGGGACATGCAACAAAACTACTAAATCTTTAAATATTGCTTTTTTTTTTTTCTCAGCCTATAGACTGTTAGGATTTGTGAGGACTAATGGAGAAGTGTTCCAGGGGATCAAAGGTGTTTATTAAAGAAACCTAGAGGTTTGGGTTTGTGTGTGTGTGTGTGTGTGTGTGTGTGTGTGTGTGTGTGTGTGTAATTCAGGGTCCCCTTATTTGGAAGGGTAATTTACTTGGGAATTTTTTATTCTCCTTCCCCCATGGCAAAGATTTATTAACACTTATATTTTATGGAAATAAACTCTGTACTCCTCACCCAAAAATGCAGTTGGGAAGGGGAGACAGAAAGGCATCCTTACGTGTTCTCATCCACTCCCATGATATTCTCCAAAACCTGGTTACTTCCAAAGGTTGCTTTCTCTTGAGATATAGACCTGCATAACCACATGTTTTCTGGACCTTTGTGGGCATCCTCATACAAGTCTGATTTGATATGTCTAAAACTCCCTATATTTCCCATCAAGCTCTTCCTTCTATATTCCTAATTTTCTAGAGTTAATGGCCCAAGAATGCAACCCTTCCACCACTGACTGCCTCAGCCAATCTTTCTACACCTCACCTTCTTTCTTAGGCACCACATTCAACCAGGCTCCAGATCCTGTTAAAATCAACTTTCTAAGTCCCTCCCAAATCAATCTTCATTTACTCATTCATTTGAGAGTTGACTGTCCCATACCAGATCTGGTGCTCTGTGCTGGAACATTGAAATGAAACAGGTGGGCCAAATGAGATATTGCCTAACTCTTCCTTTGCTCCTTTTCATTAAGTCTCAGATCCTTTCTCACCTGAATCACAACATTAATATTTTTACTCTTTGGGCTGCTTCCATCTTGTTCCCCACTCCTGTCTCCTAGGCCCCCAGAATAAATTTTAGAAATCTGAAATACTATGTCGCTTTTCCTCCCTGAAATTTTTCAGTACTTTGGCGTAGCCTTCAGATGCAGCCTAAAAGTGATGGGTTACACAATTCGTGTCTTACAGACTTTACCTGTAATAATTCAGACTTGCACACCCACATCTGCGAACTCTTTCATCCGCCAGGCTTCTGTATGTGCTATTCCCACTGCTTGTAACACTCTTCCCCATCGCTGTTCATCCCACACTAGTCTTTCAAACACAATACTGGGCTTTCAAGCCCAATACACTGTTTACTTCTGTTTACCCCACACTAGTCTTTCAAACCCAATATAAACAAATTTCTTCTCTGGAATCTATTCACTGAGTCCAGCCCGTGCCTGGGGCTTCTTCCTCATGATTCCTACTGTGAGTTCCCACAACACTCAGTACACACCTTTATCATAAAATCACAGCTGTTATCACCCTAATAGGTAAATGCACTGTCTCCTCCACTCCGCAGTGACTTCCTTGATGGTGGGGTGGGGGGGCAAGTGGCTTGGGTTCACTCGGTGCCTCCAATGCCAGGCCCTGGATGTAGCACACAGCAGATGCTCAGTACATGTAAGAATGGGTAAATGTGTATTTTGGAAACATGAGGTTATACGATCTTCCACTGTGAAACTCAAAAGAAAGGAACATTTTTTTCCCCACTGTTTGGAAACTATTGTTTCTTCTCTGCTCATAAAAATACAGCTGGATTCTACCTTTGCACACACACCTGTTAATATTCCGTTTTCTTCAGCTATAAGCCATTTAAAGAAAACGGAATTTGTATACATGGCCAGAGAACTCCGGCCAGCAGGAGTTAATCTAGAACTTGTGAAATACTCATAACATATTCCTAGGATTTGGCTTCCATTAATACAATACACCAAGTGGAATTTTAACAACTTTAGAAAAATGTAAAAGTGCAACTACCATCTCTACACTATGCTGTACAGGATTACAATGTAAACACAGCCTTTACAAGCCAAAGCAATTCTTTCCATAGGACAGGATTTTTTGTATAGTGGGATTACAATTGAACAAAAAATATTTACATTTTATGCAGATCCCTGTAAGTTCAGAGGAACAGGATAAGCAGCTTTCCTTTACTACAGCTGTCAAGGAGTAGATCCCACTGAAAAAGAAAACCTCAGATTTACCTCTTAGGTAACCTAACAGTTTAAAAGATGGGCCCAAACTGTAAGGTGGTTCCCATACCACTCCTCAACTACCATGCACCAGA